TGTGTGTGTGTGTGTGTGTGTGTGTGTGTGTGTGTGTGTGTGTGTGTGTGTGTGTGTATGTCTCACAGTTGCCAAAAAAATAGTATTGGACACTTTTGACCCTTTCTATGCTTCATTTTGACTGCCAGGTCAAATGGACCCAGACAGTATCTGTGTAATATGTAGACGCAGGGGGGGCCTGCAAAAAATGTAAAATGAACCATTTTCTTTTTATATGTAAATTATACCTATTAAGACAAACAGAAAAAGTTTAATTCAGAAAAAATACTTTAAACTATTAAAAAAATTTAAACTTTAAAACGGGTCATTTGACCCGCAGCATAACAGGAGGGTTGAACAAGATTTATTCAAATMTTAGTCAAACAGATGCAGATGAGCACAGAGTCCTGATGTGTCCTTTTATCACAAACTGATGAAACAGTTGCAGTTATGATGTGAGTCAGATTACTGGGTTGTGTGAGGTTTGTCTGCTGTGTGAGTCTTCATAAAAGAGATAGTTTGAAAACCACAGGATGACCCATGAGGGTTAAGAGCAATGCTTCAGAGCAAACAATAAGAGCCCAGAGAGTTCAAAGGGATCTGTCCCTCCTCCACCTGCTTTAGCTRAGTTTTGAAGTGGGATCTTGTGTGGTATACCTTTGTTTCACTGTAGGTCAGCAATTTATTACAGACTCTTTGTTTTCTGTCCCAAGCCTGGAGGGGGTACGTCGCCCGGCAGACTCTCAAGCAAATAAAAAAAGAGCGGGAAGAAGCTGCGATGCGCATACAGTTAGGTAAATGTGTTTAGTTTTTTTTTTCACAAGCCGTCCAAGCATCTGGTTTGTCTCATGCAGTTTCATGTCTGCTGGAAATCTGCATTTTTAAAAAGAACAAGTGCTTTAAAAACTTCACATCTTTGTGAAACACCTTTTTGATCTCGACGAGTGGCCCCACGAAAGAGTAATAATTAATTAATAATGCATAGAGAGGAGCTTTTGAAAGTTTGGGCAGCATTTGGTCCCCATGTTTCAGAAGAACAGTGCATTCTGAGATCTTTTTTCCCCCCTCCCTTTCATCTCATTCCCAGTAAAGGCAAGAGAGGGACTTATCCCTTCTGTTTCCTCACGACTTCCTCTCTCAAATTCCTGGCCTATTACACAGCTCTCACATACCAGAAACAAGATGCCTTTTTATACTGTCAGCCTTTTCATCTGAAATGTAAATTAATTCTTACTCAGTGTGCCTTGACGAAGATCAAAGTGGGCACATTAACCTTCCCAGCCCCAGCCCCCCAATCCTTGGAGCCTTTCACTGGAGGACAAGGGAGGGTGCCAAAAGGGGCTGGAGAAGGGAGGGCAGGGGGAGGAGATCTGGCATTGTTTCCTCTGGCTCTCATAAGAGCTGCCCTCATCTGGCACACGGAGCCTCGGAGTCGCCTGCACACCTTGTGTAAATGTGCACCATTAAACCCTTGTAAATAAAGCTGCAGAATGGGTAAACATGGCTGTGGTGTGAGGAAAGCCTCTCTGCCGCCGCCACCGCCTTTCTTTTTAGACAAGCATGTTTGTGTGTGGCTGGYGGGGGGTTCGGGGGGTGGGAGGGTTAGAGAACCTGAACCTGACATAAGTGGGGGTCTCAGACACCCCTCCCTCCCGCCGGCGTTGCACTCCAGCACATTCACATTGTGTGTTCGTTGCAGCTTATAGCCTTTGAGGTGGGCTGCATTTGCATCTAGAAAATAAACAGATGCCTTTCAAATGTATGAGCCTGGTGGCTCCTCAGATCTCAGCAGGGCCTGGGGGACATGCTCACCATCGATCAGATTAGACCATGCAAAATACAACCGTTGCTCAACAACGTACTTGAGCTTTTCTCTTTTTTGTGTGTGTGTGTGTGTGCACATAATTCTATCAGAAAGACACAAAGCCGGCTGACAGAGTAAAACTCAGCACGCTTGGTTTAACATCCATCTGAGCCCAGTGTGTCTCAATAATCACACGATGTTTTCCAGCTACATTCCTGCGATTTTTGCCGAATAATTTATTTTCCTCCAATTAAATGTGGTGTTTTAAAACAAAGCAGTGATTGCCTTTGATTACATTTATTAACATGTACACTGAGAATATCTGTGCAGTTTACAGGGGCCATCGGGTATGTCACAAGCAAGGACCCCTGAGGGACAAATGTCACCCTGAGGCTAGAGGAAAGACCACCAACGAGGGGCACACGAGGTGAGCCTTGGCTTCGTTCTCTCCTGTGATTGGTGGACATTGATTTCAATTTTGTTCTGCTTTTATTTTTGTTCTTTATTTTTCTTCTGCTGATGAGGTTTTTGCCCATGTTCTTGTGTGCGTGTTCGTTTGTCTGTACTGCTATCAAAATATCCCATTAGTCACTGAATGTCACTGCCCCGCCAAAATAAAAGTGTCCACCTGGATTTAATTAAGTCCTATGATGTGTGGTCGCTGCAGTTGGTCAGGTCTAGGTTCAGCAGCAGTATGTGCTCAAAGAATGAGGTCAGCTGACTACCTGAAAATACTAAATGACCAGGTTATTCCATCARTGGATTTTTTTCTTTCCTGTTGGTACGGSCATWTTCCAAGATGACAATGCCAGGATTCATCAGGCTTGAATTGTGAAAGAGTGGTTCAGGGAGCATGAGACATCATTTTCATCAATGCAACACTGGATGGAAATAAATCTTGTGACATTGCAGAAGCTTGGTGGAGACTTTTTATTTTTATTTATTTATTTATTTTTTGCCAGGCAGTGTATTTCAATGAAACTTTCAGAGAGTAATCTACAACTGATTAACCTTTGGATTGAACTCAGTTAAAGATGGCCGCCAAAGCAAAACAGCAATAGCGAACGCAAACATGTCTATAACTCTGTTAGCTTTATAAATAGTTGAGAATGATCTCCAACACTGACTTTAGATTCAATTCAGCGCACAATTTTTGGAGTGAGAGCTGTTTGACTGTTAACAAAATAAGTCATGTGAACGACTGGACAGATTTCAATAAAACTCTCAGTGTAATTGCTGTAGAAACATCTACAACTGATTGGTTTTTGGAGTCAGTTGAATTCAAGATGGCCACCTTAGCTTAGTTTTAAAGATATTAATCTAAATTTGTTGGGAAACACATCTTGCATGCTGTACCTGTCATTCATGTTTTTTTTCTTTTCTCCCCATAATGTTCTGCCGTTTCACTCCAGAGGAGAAAGCTCCTCCCTCTGCACCGCCTCTCCCACTTTTATAAATGTAATAAATAACTTTCTTCCAAGATAGCACAGTTGTCTGACCACAAATGGGGCTGGGTGCTGCRCTGGTCTCCAGATGTACGAGCGGAGGGGTTTGTGTTTATTCAGCATATGGGCAGGCCGGTCATTAAGGAAGTATGTGAAAAACAGGAGAGCGGTCACCGACTGAACAGCAGCACACCGGATGTGTTTAATCATTTATCACAATACCCCTGTGATGATGAAGGGTTTTACGTTTACAGTAGCTTTAAAAAAAAGGAATATTTTTTGTAACTTTATGACTCATCAGAGAATAAACCAAAGCACAAAAGCAAAAAGTCTTAATCATATCTTCTATGATTTTTTTCTCTCCTTTTCTTCTTTGGTCAACATTCATCTCCAGACTCCATCTCCAAAATACTAGATTTACACATCTGAAAATGTTGTGCTTGTTTTATACTCCAACTGAGCCAGGCCTCAGCTGGGATTTTCTCTCCATGTTTACAATCATATTCCTTGGTGAGAAAAAAAAAATGAAAAAAGAAAAACTTCAAACCTCCACTTAACAATTCTGTTTAATCAGTGTTGGAAACTCTCCATATATAWTTATTTTGACATGATCTGGCCCGTTTTTCTTCCTCCTGTAAGTAACTATATTCTCACCTGCGTGCTGTTCTTTTCCCTTTTGAAAGCTTTCTTCTCTGCCACCCTCGGGTTTGGTGTTTGCATCCAAACAGCAGAGCTTTCCGTTTGTATCATCAGTTCCAATCTGGATCTTACTTTATTCCTCCACACTAGAAGCATGACTGTTTTTGGCATTATGCCGCCCCCTCGGTGTTGCTTGTTTGCTTTAAATAATGCAGCACAAGTAATCACGTACAGATAAATACCCACATTGTGTTTTCTGCAAATTACCTAAAGCAGTCTTTTTTTATCAGGAGAGTGAAAGACAAATTAAATCTATTAAGCAGATATGTTTGTTGGATTGATTTTAGTCAAAAATGTGTTTTCTTTTTTGTTCCATACAGCCTTCAGAGCAAAGACGCACCTTCAGAGGACGTACATAAAAGAAACGTAAGTTGCAGAATATCAATAAGAACCTTTCTTATGCACTAAAAAAAATGCTGCTTGTCTATAAAATCAGATTTAACCCAAATCATTCTTTGGGATTTTTTTTATTTTATTTTTTTGAGTCCTTGAGACAAAAGATTTTTCTCGCTCCAACCTCCATCTCAGTGGAAAAGACAGGGTGGTACAGGAACGAGAGAATCAAAAGGCTGGAAATTCACRGCTGAGAATAAATGCTCGCTCTTCCCTGAGGTGATTTGTCTTTGCGCTCCTCTTTCTACAGATGTTAGACCCCTTTTTTAGTAAAGACCTGAGGTTCTTTGGTAGCACTTTGATATCCTGCTCGGATTCAATATGTGAAATAGAAGAGCCACTCCGTGACTTGGAGCACATCGCAGTCTTTGAAGTCTGATCCAATTTTTGCTGCTCACCATTTGATGTTGAAAGGATGAAATGAGGAAAATGTACAGTTTTTGCCAGTAACTCTGCTGAGCATATGTAAGATTAAAAAAAGCAAAAGCCTTTGGAGAATGTACTTAGAAATGTTAAGCAGATTAATACTTTCCTATAGCTCTTTTATTCAAAGATAAAATTAAATATGAGAGGAAGTCTGTATGTGCTGTTTTTTAACTATCACAATTAAGTCAGTGTGGTGCTGTTTGCTAGGAGGTAGGGCCAGTAAAATGGGGGGATATGCAATTGCATTAGCATTTGATTAACATTGCAAAGCACATTAATGGGTTGGAGTTTTATGAGTGCCAAATTGTAAATAAATGAATGCAACATCTACATGACTAAATAGAAAAAAAAAAACAAATTAGAAGGCTTGCTTTAACTTGTATCTATTCATCCAGTGCTTTCATTGACATTGCTCTTCTGGGTGTGTTTACGCCTCCTCTTTCAAGGTTTGCCCTGACATCCGAGACAGGCAAGTGAAAGACGTCAGGAGAGACAAAAGCCGAGCAGAAGACGGTGTAACGAAGCCTCGCAGGGAGACGGCGAGGCTGCAAGGCATGCAGAGTAAACAAGGTAAGCCCGGGCGCAGAGCTGGTGGGTGCAGGTAATTACACAAAGAGACAGTAGAAATCCCACTTTAATGGATAAAGTGCCAGTTTTAATACCCCCCCAACCTTTTCATCCAAGCCAATCCTCCGCTGCCATTCTTTGTTGACAGTAAAARAGAGCTGCATTATGGGTGATCATTTCTGCTGCGTTTTTATAACCCAGGTCAGATCATCACCGACGGCAAGTAGGGGGTGGTTTTCGAGGGGCATGAGCACTTCAAAGCTTTCAATTTCCCTACGTGGTGGGCTCTTTGCTTAGGATCTCATCAGCGGCTCTAATAGAMCTGCACAGTAACGGTGACAAGAAAATACACAAACCCTGATTTGTTGAACATATGTTTGGTTTGCTTTTTGCCCCGGGTGATGAATTACATTAATTCCTGCTGCCTGGAAGGCTGAGTGGGTGGCTGCGCAGGGGGCCTCTGATTATGGCCGTCACCCAGCTCACCACCAGGGCGGCCTTGGTGAGAGAGCCCCGGCCCCTTCATTAATGTTATTACGGGGGGGATGAGGTAAGAGGCCGAGGTGGGATAGCGTTTAGCGGTGCGGCTGAGAGATTATGGGGATTAGACATGATATTGTAACACAGACAGAGCTCTCCAGCGGGCCTGGGATTAGTGTCAGCACGCCGCAGCAGGTCTGGGTTAGATAGCGGCTAATTCGGTAATGCTGCATACAGGTGACCCCCGCTCTCAGGCATCGTGGCTGCTCAGAGAGGCGTTGTTTGACAAATACAGGAAGGCAGGGTGATTACAGAGAGGAAACATGACATTTTTGCTCAAATTTGGGTTTCGACTTGCAATAACATAGAGCTCTAAAATAGCAGCTCCAGGAAATATGATGCTTTATTTAATGTTTAAAAGCCACATATATTTGCACCTTTTAATAATAAATTCAAACATAAAGTGACTGAAACAATATTTGTAACACCTAAACCTCAAGTTGACAACTTTGCATTATGAGACACTTTATTTTGCATATTATTTAATGAATGAAAAAAAACTATAAAAAATTAAAAAAATTAAAATGTCCAGAAAAGCTCCAATGAATTCATCAATCTCTGGTTCTAAACATAAGAATTCTCCATCAGTTTTCTTTCAAATTATACAATTGTTGCCTCTCTAAAGTAAACTATATACACACACACACACACACACACACACACACA